TATATAGTATTTAGACAAAAAAAATAAGTAAATACATATTTTATTTTTAAAAAGTATTTAACAATAAAGAATTTTAATTTAATTTAAATTGTTCTTGTAAAACCAACAGCTCAATTTATCAAGCAAGAGCCGCTGAGCCGCTGAGTCAGAATCGAACTTACGGTTCACTTGATGAACAAGTTCCATTTTGGTCAGTTTAAAATCTTAAAAAAAAACGAACCATTTCAAACAAGTTTTCAGTTGAGCAGTTTCGAATAATTCAGAATTTTCCATGAGAAATAAATCTATTATTCCCAACAATCAAATCTAACTGAGTAATCCCGTTATATTTAAGATTAGCCCGCATTAGAAAACTTAAGACTAGGGTCCATTAATAAACTTAAGATTTATATGCCATTTGCAATGTCTAGACATTATTTCCAAGCAACTGCCGCTTGGCAGAGATATGGAAATAAATTTACTCCATGCATAAAATTAACTAGAATAATGTGACAGCCGCCTACATACATATGAGGACATGGCTGCCTAGCCAGAAAACGATTTGCGTTTATCTATTGACGCATGCATACATTAACAGAGCACAGAACAAGCGTTCGACTAGATAATTACAAGCTAAATAGAAAAAGCTACAAGGAGAGAGCGAGACAAAGAGAGAGAGGCAAAGAACGGGACCGAGAAAGAGACAGAGACAGACATACCATAAATAATAATTAAATGCGTGACTAATTACTTGTGTAATTTGCTATTATTAAGCAGCTGCAGCAGCGGCACTAACAAAAGACGGAAGTTGACGTAGTCATAACAGAGATATATATATTTACACACAAATAAGCATATGGGCGAGAGAAAGACAGGGATGGTAAGAGAGAGAGAGAGAGAGAAAGAGAGAGGGAGACTCGCATAATGAGCTGGCAATATGTCGAGTTATCGCTAGAAATTAAGTTCAAGTTGCGGCTGCCTGATAGGTATTTGTCAATGCATAAGTAATCTAGGCAAGTGTAACACACTGTGTGTGCGTGTGTGTAGGTGGAAATTTGTGTGTCGGTGGGTGTGTGTGTGGGGGGTGTTGGTTGTTGACGATGATTAAGTTGACAACAACTGTCAACTTTGCTTTAGCGCGCGCTGACATAACCTAAACGCACTCACACACACACACAGACACAGAGTTGACACACACACACACACATTCACTCAAACTACGTTTGCTATGGCAGCTGCCCTGTTGTGGTTTGGCCCCAGCTCTCTTGCTCTGCGGCTTAATGAGTCTTGATTTATTTCATTTCCTTCATTTTTCGATACGACGCTGTCGGCGCCGTCTGCGTGTTGTCACCCTTAACTTCCACACGCACGCACATTCGCACACACACATACACTTATTATGCCTTGGCATGTGCTTTCGCGCCGCTGTGGCATCTGCTTATTTACATGACAACAACAAAATTCATTACTCATACGCTGGTTTGAGGCATCTTCACGATTCACTTTTACCTGTGCGCGTGGTTTAATTAATACATTGATTGCTTAATTAAATTTCTGAGCAAGCGACATTTAACTTTGACATCGCTAAGCGATTCCCTTAGCTTGTCTCTCCATGCAAGTATGCTTAAATTCAAATGCTAATTGAACTAAATGTGCGGATTAAACTAACTCGGTGAGCTAGCTCTAACAAACATATTGGCTGAAATTGCACAGAGAGCAAAATTCTGTGGAAGTACATATATGATTAAGAGCAGAAGCTTAGGGATTAATGTAAACTATGCTTTACACAACTTTTTCAATTTACTGAAAAATGTATGTAAAAAAATTAAAAATAATAAAAGAAATGTATTAAATTTGCTTTCATATCTTCTTTATATACATTTTATTTTCATTTGCGGCATAAAGTTTTTAGAGCTGCAAGTTATGAGCAGAAGCTCAGGAATGCAGAATAACAAATTATAAAGTAAGTTTTTATATATGTATATTCTCATAACCAATAAATTTACCCAACGAAAAAAACGTGAATATACAACAAAATTGGGCAAAGAAAAAAAATGCCACAAAACTAATTTTTTTTGCATAATAAAATGTACTAAATATTTGTATAGATTCTAGAAATTTTTGTTCAAATTGCTTCTACATTTTAAGAACATTTTGTTGTCTGCAGATTTATGATTTTTTGTAAATAATTTCCTCTGATTTTTGCATCAATTCAATTTGAATTCAATTCTCGCCGTTAGCCAAATAGTCGCTGCAATATAAGCCAATTCCTCATATTTGTCGCAGCACAACAATCGGGACAAAGGCTTAACCCGATATGCCCGATTCGCATCGCACAACTCCCACATGTCAGCTTACGCGAAAAACGTTGCGAGCCGCACTCGAAAATTGTTTTCATCCTGCTGTGCGACTGCTTATCGCAAGCACTGTGTGTGCGTTCGGCTCGCCATCAATAGTTTTTACGATAACAGTTTTTTACTCTGGTCGTAAAAAACAGGCTTTTCTCTCATGTAAAGATGAAGCTATAAGTAGCTTTGTCTACACACTCGCTAAAAGCAAGACTGTAATTGAAAATTAATATGGAAAACTCTTATATAACTGTTATCTGAAAATATATATAAAATATGATATTTAATTCATAGCCAATGTAACAAAAAAATTATTTGATTTATTTAGCTTTTTTAAAGCTTTTCTCAAGGCTTTAAAATGATAATAAATAATTCTCTATTTGTATGCAGATTAAACGACAAGAAGCTTAGGACTTTTAGACTGTAAGAAAAGTAACTAATAGAAAATCAATATAAATTATTGGATTAGTATTCAAGCAGTATTAGCAGTATTGGTTTCAGCTGGACTAAAGTTATTTGAGTCACGCCTAGATTTCACCTATCTGTTTAACAATTCAACAGTTTTGTGCGCTGTTTCTTTCGATTCATCTTTTTTTTTTAATATTTACAAACATTAGCCAGGGGAATCAGTACCGGAGCTTTTTCAATATCCGGCACTTAAATTTTATTACTTTGCACATTTGATGGCCGCCATTTTGTCAAACCTGTGCTGCACGTGCTCCCAGAGACATACTATCTCGCTCGCGCGCACATTCACATCYAGCTAGCTAGCGGTATTCTGTTGCAGCGCCACTCTGCATATAATCTCCATAAAAATACATATAAACAAAATGTAAAATTCATAAAAAAGAGAAATATAATGCAAAACCGAGCATTTCTCGCCTTGCAGCTGGCATTTTATTCGGTTGCTGTGGCTGCTGCTCTTACCCTTTCCCTGCCCCTTGCTCTTGCTCTTTTACTCTCGCTTGGACGCGCTTGCACTTACACTTACACTCCTCTCTACCTCTCTCTTTCACTCTTTAGCCGGCATTGTTTGCGTGCGCTATGCATTTGCTTTGGCCTGTCTGCGGTTACCCTTTCGCTTGCCTTCCTCTGTGCCCCTCTCTCTCACCCTAACTCACTATCTCTCTCGCTCTCTAGCCCTCTGGCCATGTTTATTTGCCTAAGCGCCGCTTGTTGTTTGTTTACACTTTTTCGGTTTATGTTTCCTTTTTACTTTTTTACTTTTTACTGCACCAACTTGACTTTTATGCCCATTTCTGTTCCCGGTTCCCTGCACACTGCAACTGTTCCCAGCTGTTGACTGTTGCCACTCCGCTCGCACTGCCTGCCACTCACTCTCCGTTTGTTGCCTGGTTATGCGATCTAGGTTTTATTTTATATTATTTTTCGCTTTTCTAAGCAACAAAAGTAATCATTTATTTATCTCAGCGTACAGTTGACTGCAGTGCAAAAATAATATAATTTATTTAATATTATTTTTAGCTTTAGGCTAGCTGTAAAACAACATATTCATAGACCAGATTGGGTTTTACATAATAAACCTAAATTTCCAGCAATTTCTCTCGCACTTATTTATGAAGTTGTAAAATTCCGTATCTAAAGAGGAATATGGAGAATTAAAGTGCCAAATAATAAATACCCTGGAAAGTGAATGGTAAATGTGAAATATATCTTTAAATGTGGTAAATGTATAAATTCATAGTGAACGGCTAGTTCACTTTAGTTAGTACAGCTCATAAGCGATACGCTCTTCAATTGCTAACTTAAAAAGTTTACTCCATAAATAATTCAATGGAACAAATGAAAAACACAATTATACAATAAAAGTAAAATATGGCATTTGAATAGACTAGATATGACCGAGTAAAATATATCATTATTAAACGAGATTACTTGTACTTAGCTAGATGAACGAATAACTATAATATACTGCTATTAAGTAAATTAAACGTATTGTAAAACTAGTTCTATCTCTATATATAATAGTATAAGACCATACATACATACAATAAAAAGCTAACAACTCTGTTTCTCATATCTCTAAATACAGAGTATTGTTTGCGAAACTCTGCTTAAGGCCTCTCCCACACACACACACACACACATGCACATATGCACACACTTAGCTATATATTCGCTCACATAATGTAAACATAAACAGGGCAATAAAATATGAAAAGCTTGAGGCAAGCAGCCACAGTCGCCAACTGGCAGCCACACCCGCTGAATCGAAGTCAAAGTCAAAGCCAAAGTCAAAGCCAAAGTCGAAGTCGATATCGAGATGGATATCACATATGCCGTGGAGAATGCACACGATGAGAATATATTGAGGCATGATTTGCCATTGGAGAAGGAGGTGAGATAAAATGACCTACAGTGAACTACTGCTGATATCTTTGGTCTTTTCAGTTGTATTTGTCGTTTATGTTGTCGCTGCTCACGCTCGAGCCGCATCCCGATGACAGTCTCAACTGCGATGAGGAGACTCTGCGCATGCGACAGCAGTTGCTCATCTACAAAGCGGAGGTGGATGCACTCGATCGCACTGCCGACGACTACTATGAAAAGAAGGAGAAACTCATCTTTAAGATCTTTTGCGAGTTTCGCGGCCTTGTCTATGATCCTGAAACGCTGGATTGCTGCTATGAGCAGCCGGAACTTGAGAACAATAATTAATTAATTACTTCATGGGAAACAATTAAATAAACGAATAAAGCAATGCAGAGCTATGAATTGCCTTTCGGCAAAACTAATTGTGGCTATCGATAAATATCGATTGGTGGACATTTTATCGGACATCAAAAGCAGACCAGAGCTCTTTAATTGAATAAGTCATTCCAGCTAGAGCTTAAACTTTCTTAGCCTTGCTGCACTGCGACCCCAGCTGCTGTCTCGACTTGGCTTTTATAATATACAGAAATCCGAATATCTACAGTTAGAAGAACACGCAGCCAGAACATGGCCAACAATGGAAATGCCGGAGCTCTAGTAACCTAGCCTTTGTGCCCCGTCTACAAATTAATTTCAACTCGGTTGGAAGCCTAAGCTAAAAACCATTTGAATGCCGGGCAAATTATTCAACAACCAAATAAACAAGCAGCCGGGCGTGGCAGTAGGCGCCCTCACTGCGTCGGTGTGTGTGCGTCCGCAAAATGACTTAACATGTCTGAAACTGATTATAGCTCTGGCAAGCCAAGTAAAATATATAAGTAAATGTACATACGTATATACATATATTTGTATATGTATGTACATATATGTATGTGTATATGTATATGTATGTGTGGTTGTCCGCACCATTGCTTACAGGTGCCACCAAGTGGCCGTGTTCATGTGGCTTACGCACGACTTGTGCGTAGACATCATTAGGCAAAAGTGCGTATATTTTAATACCCTGTAACACATACATCATGAGGGCTTATGGCAGTGACAAAGAAAAATGCTTAACATTAAGTAAATGGTTGAAACTATGCAAATGTTAATTTGCCTACGCATGATTAATCATGCCTCAAAAGCTCGAAGAATATGCGTAAGTAGTGCGACAGTTTAAATATGGTTTCTAGTGTCAACCGATAAATATCGATGAGAACTAGCAGTATCACATATAAAATATTACAATTTTAATAATAGTTTATATCTGTTGAATACAATTTTATCTAAATAGATATTATTTCATCCAATTTGATCAATATTAATATCGATATAGATCGAAGAACAATTAAAAGAACTTCACACTAAAAACGTATCATTTAATTATAATACAGGGTAATTCCTTGTCTACTTCCTTACGTCTATATATTCCCATTACTTACTGTCTATGTCAAGAATGTGAAAATAAATTGGCTTAGGTGCCTGTTGGAATGCTGAACTAACGTCAAACTGAATAGAACTCCATCGTATTGAACATCGTACTGGATGAGGATCCGTAGTCAAAGTGAAGGTTCATTAAAATTTGACTTTCGCTGCATGCTGCAAAGGGCGAGCCAGGCGAATCATTGGAATTTGTTTAATTAAGCATAGTTACCTAACATGTTGACATGTGCTCGCTTATCCAGCCCTATTCGCACAAAAACCCTTCAATTAATTGTCCTATCGAATTTAATAGTAGAACGCTGAAGGCCAAAAATTTAAACTAGCTGCTTGAGATATCAGCGGGAAAATTTCGCGTTCATTAATTATCGCAACAAAATGCGTATCTCCTCCCGCTCACCCTTCTGCTCGACAGCTCAAGACCTCGCTCGCTGCATGGGCGCTGCCAGGCACACATGCACACGCCCCCTGTTGGGCAGAGGGTGTAATTAAGCAACATCTCCGTTTCGGCGTTGCCACACCACGTCCGCTTGGCCCGTCCTGCCCTGTGTTTGGCTCGCGGTTTTTAGGTGCGTGCTGTGCCAGGCTGTACGACTCCGCTGTTCTCTGCCATTTCGACCCATTCACTCAAGTATTAATAACAGCCAAAGTGTTGCTTGGGAAATTTATTAAGATGCCGTCGCCGGCAGGCGTTGCCACTCGGCCCAGCTCGTTGATGCCTCAGCTGTTGCCACTTCAAAATATTTTAGGGTCTTTTCTTTTCATTTATATATATATTTTTTTTCTTTCTCACTTACTCTCTCTCTCTCTCTGTCTCTGTTTGGTAGTTTTGTGTTGTTTGGAGGAGGCCTTGGCGCTTGTGTCTATAATTCGGCCAATTTATTTACAATGTGGCGTATGCGAAATATTTAAAGAGCCTTAAACAAGGCATAGCGAATTTCTAAGAAACTTTTACAAAATTCATTTAATATTGACATCATCAGTGCCTACGCAATTTTTGTGGCCTAAGCTTCAGCTTACGGCTGAGTTTAAAAATCTTGAACATATTTGCATTAAAGCAGAGTTATTTGATAAATTTGCTATACAAGTATATTTGTTCTGTTCAATCACAATTTTTGCTTTTAGACGTCAGCTAATGAAAATAAAATGTGAAAACTTGACAAATAAATTTATTTTATTTACAGTCTAGCATAAAAGGACGTGCTCTTTTGTATTATTTATTTTTGTATATTTATCTAATAACATATTTATTTGTTTATTTATTTAATGATATATTTGCAAACATTTTATCAACATTTTGTTTACTTTTATTTCCTTAATGTTTTTTCTACAATCAACATTTTTTGTATTATTTATCAACACTTTATCTCACTCGCAAGAGTCGTCAAACAATTTTTCATTTTCTCACCATTTTGCTGTGGTCGGTTTTATGGTTAAGCTCTGCGAGCAATTTGCTCGTTCTCGTTTATTTCTAAATTGCGTGTACTAAAYAAATAAATTGGCTTTCAGCAACTATTTTTATGAGTGAAACTTCTTGCAGCCATCGCTGAGCAGTAAAACAATATTTTATTTTGAGCTCATTGGGGTACAATATATTCAAATGTATCTCACAATATGTAGGTAAAGTTGTGAGCTTGAAAATGACTGTCTAATAGATGCCCAGCGAATAGAAGCAAATAGTGGACAGGAAAGGGACAGGTAAGAAGGCTAAAAAGTTTCTTCTTTTCTGCTCAAGTGATGTCTGTGAGATTCACCAATCGAAACTTCAATAAATAAAGAAAGCCAGTAGAGATATCTTAAAGTCTACCTCTTTTTTTCGAGGATGGTTCTTCTTTATCTTTCAATATCTATATTTATAAAAACAAAAACATTAATATTGCAAAAAAGTCCATAACAATTTTTTATAATTTATTTCAAAAATCTCATGTCCCATCTTTTTCAGTTTCTGCGGACACTGGGTATACAATATGACACCCACATACATTTTCCGGTCAGTCATAAACTTTCCAGCAATGAGTCAGCCATACAAGACTGCCTGGGTCTGGCTCGTGGCTGCCCAGAACTCTAATAGCAACTGCACAAAAGATGAACTGACAGTGTCATAAAATAGTTTTTAGCCACAAAAAGACAGCGGTTGCAGTTGGTTGAAGAAGAATAATGCGAGCTTTGTGTGATGCGATTGCTAAATGAATACTGCAATATGGCTAACTCTGAAAAACTACTTTTTTCAGCTTGCTCTTAATAATTCTGGAATATTCAAGGGAATGAACATGATCAAAATTGCCGAAATTCTTTAATAAAAATGTAATACATTTTTTTTATACAATTTAAAATTTTATTTTAAATAAGCTTACACACAGCAATGAAAAACTTTAACGGTTTAATATACTATAACTTCTTCTCTATTTATCTTTATACTATTGTGCTACCAAATTCATAAAAAAAAAAAATAAATACATTTTTAATGCATGTCTTCTTTATGAATTAATAAACTCATGTAAGAATGGAATTTTGTGATGTGAATAAAAATACTTGTAAATTTCGACAAAGAAAACAGCTTTAAAATACTTCAATACCATTTTTTTTATGGGCGTTTTAAATTCAGAAAGAACTATAGGTTTATATTTTCTTTCGCCGAGAATTTTTTTTTATGTTTTTGTCATCCGCATGCTGAGCATCGATAGTGAGAAGGATAAAAAATGACACGAACGGGCGCAACCAACTGCCTAATACTCGTGCTGGGTCCAAGAAAAAGTTTAATTAAAAAAAATAATAAAGATTAAGATTTTTTAATATACTCCACCAATATGGCTCCATTATTTATAGTGCTTTATATATATATAAAAATATATATATAGAGAGATGACGAGCACTGCCCAGAGCCAATATTCTTTGGTGTGAAACGTGAACGAGAATAAGATAAAATAAAATAGTGGAAAATGGAGCGCAAAAATATCTCCGACACTCGCAGCGGGTGTGAATTTATGGCCGTAGACGTAAGGTCATAGTTCAGCATATGTCTGCATGGCTTGGCCCAACAAATCATCATTAAATGGGGGCACATAGAGAGCGTGGACAGCAGCCATAAATAATAATTTAATTATTTTATTACTTAAAAATGCACAACAAATGCGCTTTATACACGCGCTCGCAATTAACGCCGCACGCTTGGCAACCTTAAAGTCCGACGAATAATTGCCTCAATAAAATATCCAAATGAAACGTAGCCCTAAATAAAGTGAACAGCAAGGTCCAAAGAATTCATTCAAGCAACAAAGCAGTCAAGAGCCAACTCGTAAGTAACTGAACAGGCTAAAGCGTAGAAGGACTAAGAAGAACAAATAAAGCAGCTCAGGCTTTGCAGTAGCCGACTAGAGGATATCAACTTTGAAAAGGATTGAATGAGTAATACATTACGTAATATTATTAATTTATAGAATCTGAAAATAATTTACATGAATTTTCAAAAAAATCAGATTATTATATATACAAATCATAGCCCAGAGAAACGAAATCCACATGATATAAGTCGATGAGAGAAAATTCTTTTAAGCACGTTAGAAATACGAGAATGAATACTTAAAACTAGATTGTACTGAATGAATAAGATTTATACATTTGATACCACAAATTATATAATAGTTCTAAGCATTTGACTACTATATTTTACTACTATATAGTTCTACTCCATTCGATATTATGGCTCAAATAGTTAGTACAGCAGACTATACAAGAAAACCCAATGATAAGATAAGTGAAAGGAAATATTGAAATATAAAAACAATTTTTCAGTTCGATTGCCTTTTCTGCTAATCGCAAGTTTCAAAATCAGTTAATCGATAATATGCATGTTATCGATAGACAAAGCTCAACCTTTCTTATTAAGCTTTTCTGCAAGTT